GGAATTCAAGCTCTGTAGCGCAGTCCACAGTTGTGAACTGTTGGGAGCGGACGGGCATTCTAGACTGTGATCAGTCAACTTATACTGATCGAGTGACTTTGTTGAATGTCGAGCAACATGCATGTACCTTGCCTGCCAATGTTTGTAGCAAATAAAAACTTTCAAAGTGGATATTCCGTTAAAACGGAATAATTGATGCCATTGTAAAAGCTAGAGGGAAATCAGTACTTTGAAACAGAGATGGAAAAGACCTTACTACTTTTCAGATGAAAAAGGATTATAGAATAAAAACAACTAAACCTCCAATTGTAATTACTATAGAACCTTAGGTTGTATTCTGCACTCTGGTCCTCCTCACTCCCCAACTCATAGAATTCGCTGCTCGATGGGTCATCATCGCCCTCGTCATGCAGGCGTAGTCATTGAATGCTGTCAAGTTACTTTTGATATACGGCAGTGTGTCGACGCTCTTTGGGGTTAGGCGGTTTACGAAGCCAATGTTGGAGAAGTTTCGCTCTGAGACACTTGACATCGCCTGCTGAATGTGTAATGGCAACCAGCCGCATCTCGGGCCAGTACTTGCCACTCGCGGCGCTCGTCGTCATTGGAGAACTCGAACAGGGTGTTCTCTAGGACGCCGCCAGACACAACGAGTCCCTTTTTTCACGAACATAAGGTATCCTTGTTTACATTATAACCTTATTAAAACCATTTTGGGGCCAAAAGGAATTCAGGTTTTAAAGTAAAACCTTTCATTACTAGGTTTAAAAAGCCATCCCTGCTTTGAATGAGTCCAGGTACTAAAATGTTGCAGAAGTACTAACTGACGTGGTGGAAGCGGGCGGGGATTATTGTCAAGGCAAGGTGGATCTCCGTGGCATGAAGTCACCGCGGCATACAAAGGCATCCGAGCCGACGGTGCTCCTCCTCAAATCGAAAGACACCAAGTACGTGGATTCCTTTCGTCGATACGGCTACAACGCGGTGTTCTCGGACGTCCTTGCCTTCTCAAATGAAAACGTGGGCGGGCTGCACAAGGTTCGAGCGGGGATACCATGCATCGTTTGATTGATAGGTGGGTAGGTTCTCCACTCGCTGGATCAATACGTCGGTCTCATCATCACCAGTCCTCGTGCGGCGTCCGCCATTGTGTCGGTCATTCAGTCTGTACCAGCGGACGAAGCGCAAACGCTAGTGGCGTTGCTGAAGGAAGTTCCCATCTATGTGGTCGGGAAAGTTACGTCCAAACCGCTGAGCGACCATTTGGGTGTGGCATGCTTGGGCGAGGATTCTGGTTCTGCCGAGGTCCTGGCAACATTCATCGCCGACTCGGGCAACTTGAATGGGCCCATGGTATTTCTGTGTGGAGAAAAGCGCATGGACGCATTGCCATTGAGCTTCCATGCCCGATCGCAACGACTAGACGAGCTCGTGGTCTACGCGTCGCATCAAGTGGATGGAATCGAATGGCTGCAGACTGCGAGTGCTCCACCTCAGTGGGTTGCCTTCTTCAGTCCCAGCGGCGTCGATGCCGCGCTGCGAATGACGAGCGTACCCTGGAGCAGCATCAAGAAAGTGGCTCTAGGTACGATCTAACGTGCAGTCGAATGTTCGCCGCGGAATCTCATATTGCCGATGGCATGTGTGCTTCCAGGAAAGTCTAGCGCCGCAGCGTTGGCCAAAGCTGCGCAAGTGCATGATGACAAAACCTGGGAAGCGAAGGCAGTGGCGGCAAAACCTACGCCGGATGAGTTGATAGCAGCGATTGTAGCATATGACAAGGACACGACCGAAGTCACGGGATGGATGGACCGCTCGTGATGCGTCGGAGGTGTTCGATTAGATATGATATCGGCTAGATGAAGTTTGCGAACGAAGGAGCGGTAGGATGAATGGACTATTCGACGCCGTAACGCGCCTTAAGTTGTGAGATCTCCTGTTGCTTGGCATTCACGTCCATGTTTTTGTGCATCTTGCTCGCTTGGTAGTAAAGCACCACGAGATACCGACCGCACACGTTGAACCCAGACAGGTGGTCCACCTACAACTCGTTGCGTTGAGATAGGGAAAACGCGATGGATTCGAGAGCAAGGGCTTCTTTACCGCGTTCTTGGCGTCATATATATCCTCGTACACAACGAAGGCCGTACCGCGGGTGTCGTTTGACACGCCTGCGTGGTTCCCATTCAGACGAAATGACACACACCGCCGTAGAGAGGGGAAAGAACTTACCCAAGCGGATCTGTCGAATGGCGCCGTACTTGCCAAAGATGTCGTACATTTCTTCACTTGAGATCTTGAATGGAAGGTTGCGAACGTAGAGCACACGGTTTACCTCAGGCGGCAAACGTGACTACCGCATTGCACACATCAGATCCTTTCGTCATGAGAGTCCTCTCGTCTCGAGTGCGGCGTACATTGCTTCGGCGTCCGAACGAGTTGGACATGGGGCAGCAATCGGCGGTTCTCGAGACGTATGGAACTGGGAGAAGTGGTCGTTTGGAAGATCCGGAAAATTTTCATATTATCCGGAGCATTATCAAACACTGACATCGTGACCGAACAGTGCATCACGAAGCGGACGAACGACAGATCCGACGGAGGAAGCACGCGGGTGTGTTGGCATTCTGGAACACAAGCAGTGCGGCAATCGAGGGCGAAATGGATGATACCTTTGCGAGTGGGGTTGCTCTGGGCTCTGGGGTGGGGCACAGGATTGCTAAGATCCTGGAGCCAAGGTAAGTTTCGGAGCGACGCTCGAATCGAATGCGCATGTGCATGGAAAGCCATTGTGTCAAGGCACGTAGCAACATCCCTGTGCGGGATCTTCGCATGGCTGAGTCAAGGTGGTGCGGCATCGTCATACTGTGCTCAAAGAAGGATGGCATTCCGTCGGCACGTTTCCAAGTCGAAGGTGCGATCGACTTCTCCCGTGGGTCCCTCGCGTTAGAGTTGACACTGCGCACAGCCATGGATTCTGACCGAACGCTCCTCTGTCATACATCGGTGTGACATGTTTCGTGACCATTACCTCGTTGAAATCGCGCCTCGCAAGCAAGGGCGCTTGTAATCCAGCGCAAGTCGCACTAACCTGGACACTGTGCGATCCGCAACACCGCGTTATGTGCGGGGCCACGTGCGGATCTATCCAGGAGGCTTTGTCGCTGTTGAAACATGACGCTAGCCATCGGTGGGTACAATTGCTACTGTCTTTACCACTCCGACGAGCCTGAGCTAGAGTTTGCCTGGGTAAACGCACCAGAGAGGCAACACTTACACCGCCACGATGAACTTTATCGCCCATTCAACTTGGGACCCTATCGAGGCACTGCTTCTCTGCCAGTAAGGGGACGGGCATCTCTCTACGTGACGTCAACGTGGTCCCACGACCATGCGATGGGCAGTTTGGCACCGACCCGACAGGCAGAAGCGAAGTGTAACGGGACCGAGTCCTCGAGTCCCCACCACTTACACATTTGGCATGAGCGTCAAGGTCACCGAAGTCGACAAGGACAGCCAGAAGTCGAAAGGCGTTGAAGTGGGTTGCAGTCGAGTCGCTCCAAACGGCAGTTGACCTGATGGCGTCGTCTACATTTTCCCAAGGGGACGTGGCGTATCGATGCGGTTCACCGAAATAATGCATGGGGGCCACTGGACCATCCTCAGGGCGGGTATGGAGCAATGAACGAGAGCCCACCGTCGAGCATGCGACGAATTGCGATGCTGGGGTCGGCGCCTTCTTTTACTAGCGTATTCATCCTCCACCGTCAAGCATGACACCTCCGCTCCATATCGAATCGACCATCGGTTCCACGTAAGCGCAGCGGTGGACTCGCGCCTCGGCGGATGCGTGCCTTGCATGTCAACGATATCCTCGCGCTCGTAAAGAACCGTTCAGTCGTTCCCAACTCGAACCATTTAGCAGAGAAATGAGTCTTGAGCATCTTGCCTACCTACGATTTCGCGCTTGGGGCGACTGCACAACCATGTGAGCCATTCCAACCCATCCACGGTTCAACGCCTACCTCCTCCATCTTGAAACGCATCGTCCAGCGCAACGCGGACCTTGGGTTTTCGTCGATAAGTGTACCCGATAAACTTGTTGTACTCGCCCTCGCCACCAGGGTTGGCCAGTCCTTTGCCGTGGCCGGCGGACGAGCCGCCATCGCCACCTTCGTCGAAATGGCCACTGCCAAGGCCCTGATCGGGAAATTCATCAAAGTTGGCCGTGATCTGCTTCACGAGCGCTTGGTACTGGGCGTCGGATGGGTCGAGATGCTGCAGTTTCTGCAACATGTCATGGAATTCAGCACCGCCGCGAGACGGAATATGTGGCGACGGTTGAGTGCGCAACGTCCGCCACTCGATGCCGTGGAACCACGGGTGCGCCTTGATGCGGGCCAAGTCGAGGCGCTGGTCGGCGTTGCAGATGAGGCGTCGAATAAAGTCGACGCAATGCGGGCTCAACGATTGAATCGTTTCGGTCGGGAAAACCAAGGTCTGCTTCCAATTTACAATCTAACCAAGATCACATCAACATCCGTGGCATAGCTAGCCAAACGCACCTTCCGGCACGTCGACATGGGATCGTCTGCATTGAATGGCGGGTACCCAACAAGACATTCGTACAAGATGACGCCCATGGACCACCAGTCGCACTCTTGGCCATACCCCTGCTGCAGCAGCACCTCGGGGGCGATGTAGTCGGGTGTTCCCACCGTACTGAACGCGACTTGGCGGTTGCGGCAGTACGGTCGACTGCGCTCCGTGACAGGTTGGCCTAATAGTTAGGTCGCGTCAGGATATGGAGGTGCTCGCGACAATGCACCTTGCGCTGCCTCGGACATTGTGTGGTTCGTGATGGGAAGCATTTCCTGCTGCGCCATATCCATCTTCTTGCACAAACCAAGATCTGTCAGCTTGATGTGGCCGAACGCGTCCAAGAGAACGTTATCGGGCTTGATGTCGCGATGAATGTACCCGAGTTCGTGGACCGATTCAATCGCCATGACCATTTCGGCGGCGTAGAACCGCGTCGTGACTTCGCTCAGCTTGTCCTCTTTGATCAAGAGACCCATCAAGTCGCCTCCAGGAAGGTACTCCATCACCTGCACCGTCATTGCTAGACCACGAGAACTCGACTATGGAAAGGTCGTACCATGTACAAGCGACTGGTGTCTTGGAACGAGTACTGCAGCGTGACGAGCCACTGACACTCGTTGTCGGCCATGGCGAGGATGTCTCGTTCAGCTCGCACATGGCCGACTTGGTTCTTCATTACCATGGAGCTCTTCAGCATGCTCTTCAAAGCAAAAACTTCGCCCGAATCTTTCTTGCGAACTAGCCGCACTTCTCCAAACGCCCCACGCCCCACGACCGCCAGCGACTGGAAATCCTGGATCGTGAGACGCTTTCGCTGTTGGCGCATGTGATTCAGTTCTTGGTTGCGCAACTCGGCTCGGTACGATTCCTTGGCAGGTTCACCCAGCTTGAGGCTCTGCATCTTTTGCTCGAGAATGTTGCGACGCATGCGGCTCTCCTCGCGCTCCTTCTTCATGATCGCATACTTCTGCTCCAAGTACGCCTTGGTCACGCTCGCCTTCTCCAAGGTCTTGGAACTAATCTCCTCCATCGTCCTTCTCCACTTTCACAAATCCTTCTGTCGAAAAATTCATCTTGTCTTGTCGCCACCGCCGTATCCGGATGACCGCGACTCATCCGGTAAAACTTTCAACGCGGCGAAACTGCCATGGAGGCGTTGCCGAGATTCCTGCCTTCCAGCGCCACCGCGGCGGAGAATGGAGCTCTGGTCGGTGCTACTCGATGGCTCTAGGCGTGTAGACGAAAGGATAGGTCTATCTCATGCGACTCCGATTCCCCCTTGGGGTCAGATGCCTTCCAATCTGAGACAACGATTCGATCGGATTCGTATTTGAACAATGGGACCAAGAAGACGCTCCATTGCTGCATGGACGATGAGCATTCACCTTGCATGCCGCGAACGTGATAAAGTCTTCCACTCTTTTCTTTCCGAGCTTATCGTCCTCATGGCGCGTCGTGGACCAGGATTGCAGACTGGCCAGCGACAACTTCAACAGTTCATGTGTGGCAGGTTGAGTTGGACGATGTGGGAAATCAAACGATTAACGTCGTGTGTATTTCAGGTGCATCTTGCGGAGTCGCACGTTGCGATGGGATAGCTATGTACCGACTGTGACATCGTAGCCACGTGCCGACCCCCAGCGGAACCAGAACCTCCAGGACGAGGTAGACCCAATATGGAAGTGGTGGGGTCGATCCAAGCGGAGCGAACCAGAGACCACGACGGAACGAATCGCGCAGTTGATGGCTTAGTAAACACACCTACCATCCATCGAGATGGTTGACTTGAGAGCGACGATAGTCGACGTACGAATAGCAGCGCCGCTCCACGGAGGTTGAATGGTGCGGGAAGCGCTTTCCACGCGATCAAGGCGACTGCAATGATAAACGTGACCGAGTGGCCCCATGGGCGATCCTATGCGTGAACCATGTTCATGATCAGAGCTGTTCAACATCGTCGCACGTTTAATGACGTCGCAGCTCGCAAACTGAAAGCACGAGCTGCAACAAAGTGATCGGCGTCCAGGAGAGATCCAACCGCGACTGCTGCGATCGCTTCGGCGATGGAAACCATCTTGTGGGGATGTATCGAGACATGAGATGCCATACTCCATGCAAGAAGCGCCACTGTCGAGTGTGTGGCATTGTCGACGAGTCCCCAGAACACTCGGCTGTCGTGAAGGCACGGCCTACAGCAACGACGTAATGGGCCGAAGAACCCTCTGAATGTGCCTTACCGTCGATGTAAGAGGTCGTCCGACACGATGCACAGCACAACCAAGACAATCAATACATAAATGAAGAACGCAACTCTCCATCGACACCTGATGTTTCCTGTAGTGCACGCAGGAATTTGGACGAAAGGCGGCGCAAGAGGATGGGTCAGAATTTGCCTCGATCGACACGACTGTCCAAGTGGCCTACCTCCATGAGATCGAGTTTACTCCATCGAGAATGAAACATACCGAGCGAGGAGAACGTAGTTGGCTTGAGCTCCCAGAACGACCAAGGCGCTGACCCAGCCCAGCGATGCGTTGTCGGCGCAGAGTGGCGGCGCCATCTTTCCAAGTGACATGGCAATCTGTCTGGAATTCTCGAAAATATCCTCAATATTTTCGTGTTTTTGCAAAAACGCGAAACCATGACAACGAGTTCAGCAAATTTGAAGTTGCATCCCAAGTAGCAAGCGAAGTACGTAGCATGCCGCGAGGGCGGCACTTGTCGGCGGCAGAACAGTCAACAATGCTGGCGATGCATCACAGCGGTCGGACTCAAAAAGAGGTTTTGACGTACGTGTGTACTGCACGAGGGTGTCACAATTGTAGATCGCCCAAGTGACTGGTCGTGGGAAGAGCGTCATCCGAACATTTTTGGCCAACCCAGAGGTATATGGCAGCACAAAGCGACAGGGCCGTCCGCGCAAGTTGTCCCCTCAGTTGGAGCAACACATCCTCGACATTGGAAGGGAAAAGAGGATGAATGCACGGGAAATCATCCAGGACCTTGGCCTTCATGGAGTTCAAGTTCGTCAAGTGCAACGACTCTTGCAGCAGGACAAGCGGCGGCAAGACGACGACCTGCACCATCGGCGCGACAACGCCAACCACGAATCACGACCCGACATAGCGCGGGCATCCATGCTGCTCTCCATGTCCGATGTCGACGACGATGCACACGATGGAAGCAACTTGCACGAAGTGACGGATACCCTGTGCATGCTCGACGACATCTGAGGGTCCCATGCGTTTTATTTTGTTCAACTACAGTGCTCCATCGACCTGCTTCTTCCTCTCAGCGTTTAGAGACGCAAATAACCCTTTGGGATATAGCGCCAGGAGTTCTTGCGGAGCCCCTGCCTCCACGAGCATTCCCTGTTCGAGCACGAGGACCATGTCAAATGCCAATAGGTGCTGCACGCGGTGGCAGATCGTGATGACGGTGCGAGGCAGCGCCACGAGCAGTTGATGGATCACGCGGTCCGTCTCGGCGTCCATGTAGGCCGTCGCTTCATCGCACACGAGGACGTGTCCCGGTCGGAGCAACGCTCGAGCGACGCATAGCAACTGGAGCTCGCCAACGCTGAACGTCACGTCATTCAAAGAAGAATCGAGGCCGTCCTTGAGCTGCAGCACGACTTCAAGCAAGCCGACTTGGTCGAGCACGTGGTGCACTTGGGCCTGCAACCACCTCCTCCGTCAACTCCACCCAACCGAGGGAGAGGTCCAACGTACCGTGGCCGTGGAAACGTTCCCAACGAGTCCTTCCCTCACAGTGCTCCCGACCAACACTGCATCCTGCGGGATAAATCCGAGTATTTGCTGGCGCAACGTTGTCGTGGAGACGGTCGCCAGGTCCACCGAGCCCAACGCGATCGTGCCTTGGATGGGGTAAAGACCCAGCAACGCGCGAACGAGGGACGACTTGCCGGCACCCGTGCGGCCGACCACTGCAACTTTAGCATGCCTCGGGATGTCGACATGGATATCGCGGAGGACAGCGGATGTGCCGTACGCCATGGACACGTGGCGGAAGTGCAGCGCTCCGTCGGGTTGATCCCAACGTTCTGGAACAACTTGTTGGTCGGTCGACAGCAACGACCGGTGGTCTTTGTGAAACGAAGCAATGGTTGTGAGCTGGTCGATGCGCTCCAACGCGACAAAGTCGACTTCCATCGCCGCGACCATCTTGACCATCCAGCCCATGCGCGACGGCACCTGCGATGCATACGTGAAAACTAAACCCACCAACGACGCGTCCAGCCGGCCAGTAGAGCGCAACCAGACACAGGACGCCGCCGCCGCCGCCACGATCATGATCCCAAGCAGCTCGAGCCACACGGTGACCCACTGGCTGGCGACGAGGGATGGCCAGTATGACCGAACAGACTCATCGATATAGTGCATAGATGTCGCCGAGACGGTCGCTGCTGCATCAAACGCCGAGATCGTGCTCGTGCCCTGTGAGATTTCGTTGAAATGCGACAGGATCGGCGACCGCGTCATCGACTGCAGGCGCTTCAGGTCCCGCGCGGGCCATCGGTACATGTGGTTCATGTACATGCACGGGTACACGAGGACGAGGACGAAGAGCAGCACGGCCGGCGTCGTGAGCGTCACCGGCACGAGAGACAGGACGATTTCGACCGTGTTGGACAAGAACTTGGTCACGGCGTACGGGATGTCTTCATCGAGAGCAGCAATGTCCTTGACGCATCGGTTCAGGATGACGCCGAGCGACGTGGTGTCGAAGAAGCGCATGCTCGCATGGACGAGTGCATGCACGAGCGTGTGATGGAGGGAAGCCGACGAAGCCAAGGACAGCACGACAAACAAGATTTTCCGGACGACGGATGTGCACGCTTGCGCAATGCCCAGCGAAATAAATAACAATTGAGCAAACGACGACGCGCGACTCGAGTCGTGGCTGCACCACTGGCTCAAGCAGTACGCGCCCCCTAACACAAGACTGTGCTCCACCACCAAGAGGACAGCGTACGCAGCCACGGCACACTTGGACCCCAGAGCTTTCAAGTACAACGCGATCACGCGGCGGTCGAGGGCGCCTTGGCGCAACAGTTGATCAGCAGGCTCGGTGCTAGGAGGAACTGGAGTTTTCGAGTTTTCGTCGGGGCGTTCAGGCGGACTCGCTTCTTGAACGTCAAGGGAGGGCAAGGTGGTGCGGCCGCGCGGCCCTTTGACCGCAGAAGGACCAGCCGGCGTCGCGTCGGCCGACGTGGTTGCCACAATACCTTGGGCTTTGAACACGGACGGCGGCGGTGGCTGGATGGAAAACTCGCCTGGGTTCGTCGCCTCGGCGCGGTCAAAATAGAGCACTCGGTCGACTGCCGCATGAGACACGAACGCCGGTTGGTTGGTCACGAGGATTTTTGTCATGTATGCCAGCGCAGGGCTGCACAGGCATCGCGTAAAGATGTGGTGGCCCACGTGGGTGTCTAGACTGGCGAGGACGTCGTCGAGCAGAAGAATGTCACGGCGCGCATAGATCGCGCGGGCTAGAGACATGGATTCACTTGCGTCAGTACGACGCGTGGAGCGTTGCCGTCGGCTGGTGGAGCCGCATGGCCAACCGAGAAGGGCAGTGAGCACGACGTACCGAGGGCGATGCGGTGCTTTTGGCCACCTGATAGCGCACATCCTTGGTCACCGGCGATCGTGGCGTCTCCACTTGGCCATCGCGCCAAATCTTCGTCCAGCGCGCACATGTACAGCGTCATTTTGTACCACATCCTGTCCATGGGCTGGCCAAACAAAATGTTGTCGCGCACGGTGGTGTTTTGAATCCAAGGCGTCTGCGCCATCCATTCCTGTCAGCCGCAAGTCGTCGGTCGGTCGAGCGTACCTGGGCACAGTACGCCACAGTGCCATGGACCGCCACCGATCCGCTGGACACGGCGAGCATGTGAATGCAAAGTTCCAAGAACGACGACTTGCCGCATCCCACGGGACCGCAGCACACGACAAATTGGCCCTTTGGCACGACCATCGTCAAGCCTGCAAACAGGTCGGGTCGCCCTTTCGAATCATCGCCGTCCGTGGCAAGCGGTACCTCTGTCCACCTGCACGTAACATCTTTGATTTCAATGGCATGGTACAAGTGCGCGTTGGTCGCGCTCGAGAGAGCTCCTGGTGGCGGAAGCAAGGCCGATCGAGGCCGTTCGTCGGCGCGGAAGAACGCTTCAAGTCGCCGGAGAGACACCATGGCATCAACAAGCGTCACAAGCACGTAAGGAAGGCGGAGAAGCGGACTGGCCGCCGTGTTGAACCACGCAAGTGCCGAGAACGCAGTCGTGGCGTCCAGATGACCGTGCTGCACGTGAACAAACACGAGAAACGTGAGCATCGGCGCGAAAATGTCGGCAACAAGCACCAAACTCTTGTTGCACGTGATGTGCATTGCCTTCCACTTGAGCGCTGTCAGTTCTAGCCGCCTGGCGTGACCCAGCCGCGCCTCACACCACGATTCATACGCATTGGCCTTGACGGTGAGCACGCCGCGCAACATTTGCGTAAAAATGGTTGTCCGGTCGTCGCGGCACTGCTGGTGGACGGCGCTGTGTCTCTGGATGCGATTGCCAAAGTAGAGCGCGAATGGCGCGTAGAGACCGATGGTGCCGAGCCAGACCAGCGCTGCATACGAGAGCAAGTCGAAGAGAAAGTAGCCGCAGACAGCGAGGGTCACCATCGCACTCCACGTGTCCCAATGGATCGAGCACACCACGTAGTTGTCGCAGAGACGGGCGGCATCCATGGCAATGAGGCTGTGGATGCGGCCCGCCGAGTACGCCGATTGCCGCGCAGACGCCGACAGCCGCAGTGCTTTTTCAAACGCAAACTGTTGGAGAATCGACCGTGTGTGCATACCACAGCGCACGGCGACGGCCCAAAATCGATGGACAAACACACAGTTGACCACGAGCGCGCCGCACCAGAGCGCGGCGAGACCGGCAGCCTGCGTCGTCGCGATGGCCGATGACGCAGTCAACGCTTGCAACAGCGCATGCAGCAACAATGGATTTGCCACACCGGCGGCAGTCGCGACCATCATGAGCGCGGCTGCGTGGTAGAACGAATGCCAGCAAACTGCATGGAGGTGTCGGAGGAGGCTGTGCGACGGAAACTCGACCCAACGCGCGCGGAATGCCGGAAGGAGCGTCGCGGTGGCGTCTGCGGAGTGCACCGGGGGCAGGTCCTTCATTCGGAGAGACTGCTGCGCGTATCCTTGGCGCAGCAATGGCCAAATCCAGAGAAACAATAGCTGGGACACGTACGCCGCGTTCTCTTCAAGCGGATGGGAATACACAGAACGACGAGATGGAAGGTCCGAGCGCGCGTGCCGCCAATGGGCAGAAAAGGCACAAACGGTTCGGAGAAGCCCCAACGACGTGTCAGCGATGAGAGCGGCGTCGAGAATCGAGAGCTTGTCGTGGTGTGCCATGTTCTTGAACACGACGCAGCGAGTGGCCACATCCAACAAGAGTAAATACCGACAAGAGCGAAGCGCTTGAGGCGCGAAGACAGCAACGACAGCTGGAAGAGGTCGATGGGTCGATGTGCATGGACTTGCCGTGATGCGTTCGTACCTGCATGCGCGCCTTCTACGATCCATACCGTGCCTAGTGTCATGAGATCGGACGTGTCGACGAGAACGAAAAGAGCAACTTACCTGCGTAGACCTGGCACGGGTACAATGGATGGAGACTGGCAATGTAAACGCTCCCGCATACGGCGCTGACGAGACTGAGCGCAGCCGTGATCTTATACAGAATGTCCCGCCGACCTGGTGGATGCGACGTTGTCCACCCCACGATCGCGCTCCACGTGAGAATGGCGAGTTTCCACACAGTTGCGACAAAGAAGGACGTCTCCACACACTCGTTGATGTGCCCTGGATGGGACGGCCATGCCGCATCCAACGGCCCGCACCACCACTGCGTCAATGCTGTCATTTCGCGATCCTTGATATCGCCAGGCGTTACAAAGAAGGAACGTGTTATTTGTAGACCCATGGCGGTTCCTGCCATCGGGGGATGGCGTCGAGGGCAAAGAGCAGGGGAAGCGCACACGGACAACGACCGAGCTCGACGGCAGGCAAGAACAGCTACGTCACTCCAACCCTCCCTCACCTTGATTGGTGGCGCGCGCAACCACACCCATGCAACGTCATGACTTGGGATGGTCCTGGCGATGGCCATAGCATGGCACTGTTCCATTCATCCACAGGTTTAACTGGTAGCGTTGGTGGCGTGGTGCCTGTGATTCGCAGGTTTTGTCAACATGCAGTGGCATTTCGTATGCGAGAACACGCTTCATGGACATCGACTCGATAGCATCATGGACGAATGGAAAGCGTACGATGAATGCTACGGACGCAGGCAGAGTACAAACCAAAGTGCGTTTCGGCTGCACATGGATGCCCGTCATACCGCAACGCTGAGCAGATGCCGCGTCATGGTGTGGCCGCTGGCGACTTATGCGGTCGATCTTTGCCGGAGAATAGCGTGCGTGTAACTGTGCTTTCTGCGTCGAAACAACCTCGGTCGTAGAGTACCTCCATCGTATGCACCCTCCAACGCATTTGGCATCTTCAAGCATGGCTTACGCTTGCAGCAACGACCTCGCGCCACGTAGTACGTCTACCAGGGAGGAACTGCGTTGTCGCGTGTGATTTGAATTTTCAAACGATGCCATATAAAATGTTGAATGCTTCAATAAATACAGATTGCATTGTTACTGGTGTATTTTAAAATTCACCGCATTTTAAATTCACTTCTTCAATGTTGTCCTTGAAACCGGGGATTTTTCTTCAATTAAGAATCCGTAATGTTAGATTATGGTCATTAAAGTCAGGTGTACATTCCAATAGATCCGGCAAGATTTTTTCGATGAATCGGCGCAAATAAAATTGTCAATCACGAAAACCACAGTTCGGGCTCCATCGCGGCCGCGGCACCAAATCGGCACATCTCGACTGCACCGACGCGTTCCGAACCCAACATGAGCCAGCCATGCCTTAGAAACATGAGCTGCAAATGCCCACTGTGCATGGGCGAGGACGTGTCTGCACTCCTGGCGATCACCAAGACTATCACGTCCAACATCACATACACTGAGCCCGGCGAAGAAGACGCGGCGCCACCGCCCACGGCGAAAAGTGGTTTCATGGCGAACTCGCCTCCAGCAAAACCCGCCCCTGCGCCACGTCAATCGCTCAAGTCCCGCATGTCAAAACCTGCCGCTGCTCCAGTGGAGAAGTTACCTCCACTCGACTTTCAAGATGTCGACATGAGCTCGTCTGCAGTTCTTGAAACAGCACCCTTGTCAACATTACATCCTCCTGTGGAAGAAAACCAAGCACCTTTGCCGCCACCGATCTCATCTGGAGGGGAAGCGCCACCAGAATATGCAGGAGATGACGACGCATCTTCACGTCGTGCGGCGAGCAGCGACGACGCGCCGCTTCAAATGGAACAACTGGAGGCAAAAGTCGCCGACAAGAACTGGAAAGTAAGGAAAGAAGTGTACGACGACTTGAAAGCTGCGTTTGAGTGCGGGCGCGCCATCGAAGGCGGTAATGTGACGGAACTGTTCGGCAAGTTCGTGGACGATTCGAATGCAGCCGCGATGGAGTGCGGGCTCGCGGCAGTTCTCGCGTACACTGTCCAAGCGAGCGCCCACCAATGGAACAATGCAATCGTCGGTCGCGTAATGCCCAAGGTTATCGACAAAGGCTTTTCGGGCCGGCCCGGGACAGTCAAGCTCGCCGAGGAGCTCGTGCTGGAGTTTGTCCATTTGGGGAGCGCCGAAGATACCATCACGGCACTGCTGGAAGGAACGAAGAACAAAAAACCCAAGGTCCCGCCGCTCTGTGTCAATTCGATTCTCGAGTGCTTCAAAGCGTTTGGCCCGCGCGTCGTGCCGGTGGTCGCTGTGAAAAAGGAGCTCAAGGCACTGTGCGAGTCCACTGTGAACAATGTGCGCCCTACCGCGTTAAAGCTGATCGGGGAGCTCTATCGGTGGACTGGCCCCACCCTCGTCCAAGACATCGTGGCGAGTCTCCGCCCAGCCCAGCAGACCGAATACGAAGCCATGATCCACGAAATCACGCCCGGTCAAGCAGTGCCGACGCGGTATCTGAAGGGGAAGGAGCCTAAACCGGCCAGTGCGACTGCGACCAAGGCAGGGGGCGGCAAAGGAGCGGCCACAGCAAAGACCGACGGCGGTGGGTTCGACCCGCGCGAGTTTGCCGAGACTGTCAACCTCCTCGATCGGCTGCCGAAAACCGAATACAAGGCCAAGATGGCCCTCCCCAAGTGGAGTGAAAAGGTCGAAGCGCTCAAGATCATCCTGGACACGATCGGGTCGGTGCCAAAGCTTGCGAACGGCGACTACAGCGACCTCGTCCAAACCCTCAAGTTGTGCACGCAAGACTCGAACGTGAACATCGTGGCCAAATCGATTGAGGTCCTCGGGGTTCTCGCGGACGGCCTCCGCCGCAACTTCTCTCAGTACGCTCGCATTTTGCTGCCCGTCCTCCTTCGCAAGCTGTCGGATAAGAAATCGAACGTCCTCGCGGCGACGCACCAGGCCCTTGACATGTTCCAGCAGCACGCATTGCCCATCGACAACATGATGGACGAGCTCAAGGTCACGATCGAAGGCGCGACCAACAAAGTGCCGGCGTCCCGTGCCCAAGGCGTCCTCTTCGTCGAGCGCTGCATATCGAAGCAAACCGTCAATGTCGCTGACGCCGCCCTCATGAAAACGTGTGGCGAACTCTTTGCCAACTGCATTGAAGACCCCGACCCGGCACTGCGCAAGGCCGGCGTCGACGCCATGGTGACGTTGGTCAAGTCATCGTCGCAAGCGAGCCGCTTTGTGAAGAATACGCTGGACGTCCTCGAGAAACGCCAGGCGCGTAGCTACAAAGTGATTCAAGCCGCCATGGGTACGGTCGGACTAGTTGCACTGGCCCAGGACTGAATGAGTTTGGCATGTAGGCAGTGATGCCGGGGCTGCGGAACCTGCTGCCCCCAAGCAACAAGCGGGCTCAGTGCCCAAGGTGGCAACCGCGTCGGCCAGCTCGGTCCCGAAGGAGGCCTCCAAAACGCCGTCGGCGGCGCCGCCTGCCCGCGCCAACTCGCTGAAAAAGCTCCCATCATCGTCGTCGGCCGCAGCGCCTGCTAAGCTCGGCAAGTCCGCGTCGAGCAAAGCTGTCACTGCATCGTCGGACACGATCGCACTGACCCCTCAAGAGGCCGAGTTCCAACTTGAAAATCTCGACCTGGACGGGTGGACGACGGCTGTGGTCCCCAACTTTCAGAGCGCCAAGTGGACGGACCGCAAAGCCGCGTTTGAAGCGCTGGAAGGAGCGTTTCAACTCGTGTCATCCGATGTGCCGACGGCCAATTTGGACGCGGTCGTTGTGTATGTGGCGGCACAGTCCAAGAACTTTAAGGAGTCGAACGTCCAGGTGCTCAAGAGCGCGTTTCAAGCCGTGACAACGATCGCCGGGCTCTGCGACTCGATGGGTGCCGGCGTCGTGTCGTATGTCGTGCCGCCCGCCGTGGAAAAGATGGGCGATCGCAAAGTGAGCGAGACCGTGCGACCCATGTTCATGACGTTTGGCGAACTCGTGGGACCCGCGGCGGTGCTGACCGCCATGTTTGGGCACATGGCGGTAGTGAAGACGCCGCTGGCGCAGCTTGAATGCCTCGAGTTCGTCAACGAGTGCGTGAAGGAGTTTGGTGTGACCGTGTGCAACCCGCGAGGGATTATCGAGTACGCCAAGGGCCCGTTCGGCATGGAATCGAGCAATCCCAAGTCGCGGGTGTCGGCGATCGCGTTGTTTGGGACGCTGTACAACCAGCTGGGTGACGGCATGCGGCCGCTGCTCAACTTGGACGCGTGGAAGCCGTCACTCAAAGACACGGTCGAGGCAGAGTTCAAGCGAGTGGGGTACACTGCTAACGCATTCCGAGCCACCCGTGCGGTCAAGTGCGACGAAGGAGCGGGTGGCGGCGGTGCGGCGTCTGGCGGCGGCTCGCTGTTTGGCCGCGTCGACATCAGCGCCAAGATCACAAAGGAACTTCTTGCGGACATGCAAAATGAAGACGACAAGGTTGCGTGGAAGAAGCGGTTGGACGCAATGGAACAAGCGCAGCGCCTTTGCGAAGAAGCGGGGCTCAGCATCGAGTTGACGAAGGCCGTGATGGACCTGATGAAGTCGCTGAAGGCTCGTTTGAGCGACTCGAATGCGAATTTAAAGACAAAGGCGGTCCAAGTGATTGGCGTCGTCGCGACCAGCATCGGCCCGTCAGTGTCCAAGCTGGCCAAGCTCGTCGGCAACAACTTGGTCGTCGGTGTCTCGGACAACAAGAAAGCGATGCAGCAAGCGTGTCTCGAAGCGCTTCACAAATGGGTGGTTCACAACGACGTAGCGTCAGGAAGTTGCTTCGACTCGTTGCTGCCATTCGTAGCCGAGGCGCTAAAGAACCCCGTCGGTCGCGCCGAGTTGCTCGGGTGGACGGTGGCCATGACGCAGTTGATTTCGGACAGGTTGGATCTCCGCCCGCTCGTGGAAAACACAATCGATGCGCTGCTGGACAAGTCGACGGAAGCCCGCGAAAAGGCCCAGCTCCTTCTCGTGGACGTGTTCAAGAGCGTAGGCAAGGATGCCGTCCACGCTGGCTGCCGCGACATCTTGCCCGCGAAAATGCGCACATTGAAGCCGATGATTGACCGAGCGGCCACCGCCGCGTTTGGCAGCGGTACAGCAGTCGATGACAAACCCGCCAGCGCCAAACCGGCAACGTCGTCCCTCGCTCGGGCGAGCAGCACGGTCGGCGGTGCGCGAACTCCTGCCTCCGCACCGTCGCCGAAAGCGATGACGTCCATCCCGCGTTCGTTGTCGACAGCGAGCACGTCGTCGTCTGCGTCGGCGCCGCCTGCAGCTCCCGCAACGTCGCTCCTCATCTCAAGCGACAAACTATCCCGCTTGGAACGGAATCGAAAGAACAAATGGATCTTTGACCCCGCCGACCCCGCCGAACTGCTCGCGCGAAAGGGGCAGGTTGAAACGGAATGGTCTGCGCTGGTCCATTCGACTTTACGCGCCAAGTTGTTTGCACCGTCGTACGAAAAGGTGCGTCGATGGTGGTGTGGCGCGTGGCGCGCTCAATATGAAAGCGTAGGGCATGATGCAAGCGATCGACGACTTGTCGGCGTGCGTGACGGCGCAGCCGGACGAAGTATTTGAATCCCTCGACTTGATCCTCAAGTGGTCGACGCTGCGAATCGTCGACAACAATGTGCAAGCGCTGGGTACGGCGACTCGTCTCGACGGCGTTTCTTTGGACTAACGCGACGTCGTGCAGTGAAAATGCTCGATTTGCTGGTCAAACTGTTCCAAATGCTTGTGAACTACGGATGGGAACTGGACGATGTCGAAGCCGCGATCTTCCTCCCGTATTTGTGCCAGGAATCGGGGCAGCAAAAGCCCCGCTTCCGCATGCGCTTCCGCGACGTTCTCCGCCTTGTCGTGCAAGTGTACCCGTCGGCCAAATTGACCCCGTACCTGCTGGACTGCATCACCAACTCGAAGAACTCGAAGAGTCGATCCGAGTGCTTGGACTTGATTGAGTACATCGCTGAGACCAAGGGCCATGCCGCCGTCGGCCGCAAGACGCTTCGTGACATCGCCAAGTACGTCGACTGCTCGGAGAAGGAAGTACGAGAGAGTGCCATCGCCGCCGTCGTGCGCATCTTCACCCTCGTCGGTGACGCCAACACGGACCGGTTCTTCACGCTGTGCAACATCTCGAGCCAGAAATCCATGGACCTTGTCCTCCAAAAGATAAAATATCTCCCGACAGCGGCCTCCATCCCGTCGGGTCCCAAGCCAACCGTGCCATCGTCGTACCAGCGATACGCGTCCGCCCCGGTGGACGAACCGGCGCGGGAGCCACCTCTGTCGACGACCCACGACCAGTCCGCTAAAACGTCGCGATTCGAACGACCGGTAACCCCGATCAAGGTCCACACGCCATCGTCGGCGCATCCGCCTGGCTACGCCCAGCCGCCGCCAACGACGCTGTTGCAACGGCCGGCCACCCCCGCCAAGTACCAGCCCTCGTCCACCAGCCAGCACGACGGAACAAGGCAGGTCGACATGCCGTTGTCTCACACGCCGTCGGCAGTGCCGTTCCGGAGCGACTTGGGCGTGACGCCCGTCGCAGCGACCACCACCCGCACGGACATGCGCACGGTGTTGTTTTTGCCGCTCGAGCGCCTCCTGGTGAGCCAGCGGGAACTGACGGTCAACCTGGACGCGTTCGCTGCTGGCAAGGACGCGCTCAAGTCGATCTACTTTGTCGCGTCGTCAGGCGACGACCTGTTCATGCAAGAAAACGTCAACGAGGTCGTGCTCCGCGTGTGCCACGTCCTCCATGCCGCGTTCGGCAAGCCCAACATGGAACTGAACGTTGTGTCGTTGTGTGTGGCGACCGTCGCCAACATTTTGAAACACGCGGCGTACGCGAGTCGCATCGAGCGCATTGCCATCGAACGCCTGCTCTTGGAAGCGTGCATGGGCTTTCTCGACCCGCGCCTCGACGACATCGAAGCGACGCTGTCCAACCGGATCATGGTCGCGCTCAACAAGCTCATCATGACCACGGCGTACGCGCTCCGCATCGGCGAAGTGTGGCCAGCCATGCTCGTCGTGCTCGAACGCCTTGTGAGCGGCAAGGTTGACGAGTACAAGATCCACGACAAGGTGAACTTGCTCACGGACAAACCGACCCTCGCCCGCGTCGTGGCCAAGCTCGTGGTGAAGACAACGCGGCGAGAACTCGCGCTGCCGACCCCCTTTGCCAACGTCGATGTGGCGAGTGTCCTGCACACCAAGCACCGCTTTTTTACCACTTGTGCGGTCTTGGCTTCGGATGCAAACGACGACGGCGTGTGGGCCAACAACGCGATGAAAACGAGTTTGAAGCACGCGGCCGATTTCTGGGGCGCATCGGAGGACCGGCGCCCAGCGTTCCAAGCTGCGCTGAACGACCTGCCGATCTCGTCACCTATCCATCGCATGCTGATGCAGATCGCGCCGAATGTGTTTACGATTCCATCCCCCGACGCCGCCGCGCGGGGCCTGACCAACGCGGTGCAGCTGTTTTCGACGACAACGGACCCGGCGACGAAACTCCAGGCCGCGATGACGATGGTCGAGGTCAAGATGAACTCGGATGCTGCCGCGATGGATGTCGATGCGTCCAAGAAGGACGACCTGCGCCAGTCTTTGGAGAAGCTCGACATGGCAGCGTACAACCGAACGGCGGCGTCTGCGACCGACTCGGCCATCAAGTGTGCGCTGACCCGCACCAACATCTTTAAAGACCGTAGCTTGGAGGTCAGTGCCGCCCCCACTGCGTCGAGTGGCGACCAGCCACCCAAATCGATGGCGCTGATGGATCTGAAGCAGCGCCTGGCGCGGATTCAAATGCACTGACCGACCATCGAGTCGCAGTAGGTAGAACGTAGTCTGTCCGATTAATTAACATGAGAAATGTCCAAAGTTGTCGCTTCTCAAGGGCAGGCGTCGGCTCAACTCGTGCAGGTCTTCCACAGAGATATGGTGGCACCCTTCGCCGTTCGCTCTCTTCTCGCCCTCCCGTCAGCCATGCATGTCATCGCAGGTCATGTTGTGTCCACCATGCACTGGCTTCAGCAGTGCCGCACACTTCATTCAAAACCCTTGTGGACATGGCTTTCGGATGTCCGCACATCCAGCATGATGGTGCAGTCTCCCGATCCTTCTCGATGTTGATGGTGCTTGAGGCCACAACTCTCTCGCTTTGTGTGCCGCCGAGCCATTGACGATCCGCTCAGGCGAGAGTATGTCGTCGCCAATGGTGCCGTGCGGCGGTGGCCAGCATGTGTCGGGTGAAATTTTGGCGGCACACACTTTATAGAAGATCGCGATCCGATTAAAAACCCGTGTCTTTTATCCGTTTAAAACTGTTTGAAAAATTCTTTTATTCTTTGTACATTTTGAGCCAAGGACACCAGGCTTGAACCCGACATGATTGCGGTGATCGGCGACTCGTTCGTGGACGTCCTGGCCGGCGTCGAGACGCTACCTGCATGGGGACGAGACTCTCCATGCAAAGAACCCATCCAAATGCAGCCTGGTGGATCTGCACTGAACACGGCGACGCAACTCGCCAACCTCCGCGGCGACGACGAGGTCACGTTCTTTAGTGCGGTCGGTGCCGACGCATTCGGCGACATGCTCAAGGCCCATCTCGAAAAGAGCCGCGTGAAACTGCATGCAGCCCACTTGCCTCTCATTGTCCCGACGGGTGTTTGCATTGTCTTGACAGGACAAGGAGACCGTGCGTTCGCGACGCACTACGGAGCCACCAGAGTGTTTGCAGTATCGCACGTCGACCTGGACGCGCTTTTCCGCGCGACACACATCCACATCGGTGGTACGTGGCTTCCTCACAGCGCTTCTTCATGGAGTTGTGCTGTGTAGGGTTCTACAGCGTCACGGGGCTCCTTCCCGGCCTCGTGGATCTTCTAAAGGCGGCCAAGGTGCGAGGAATTACGCTGTCCCTCGACACGAACTACGACGGGTCCGAGCAATGGAATGGCCTGGACGAAATCCTCCCTCTTCTCGACGTGTTTTTGCCTAACGAAGTCGAGGCTCAGCGCATCTCCAAACGCGACTCGCTCGACGACGCCGTCGCGTACTTCCGAACGGTGGCACCGTCGACCTTGATCGTTGTCAAAATCGGCCGTGAAGGGGTTTGCGCCACGCGCGGCGATTTCCACGCGTTCTTTCGAGGGTTCCCCGTCGATAACGTCGTCGATGCGACTGGCGCCGGCGATGCATTCAATGCTGGGTTCCTCCACGAGTGGGTCAAAACCAACGACGTCGAGCAAGCACTCAAGTGGGGGTGTGCAGTCGGCTCGCACTGCGTGCGAGTAGTTGGGGCGTGCTCCACACTGCCTGACCCGCAGCACGTGCAGCAGCTTGTACGCCAAGCATAACGGCGCGATAGACACCCGACAAAGGCCAGCTTGGACTCGTATATAGTTTGACTCGATGCAATTACTGCTGCGAACATTGGGGCGTCCCATCTGTGGAGGCGGACGGTTGGAGCAATGCTGAGCTTTGCCTCGATAGCGGTGTGGTTGAGGTCGCTGCGGTCGACTGCGGCGACGACGTTGTTCGACTTCGCTTCGCTCCCGGTGTCGACTGGGCTGCGACTGCTCGTTCCATCGTCGAGTCGTCCAGCTTGCGCTTCAATGTCGGCGACAACACACCGGGCGACGCGAATACTGCGCCATTTTCTTTCTCCATCGCTTTCGACCGGCGTTCTTCGCGTAGGCGAAGTCTGTTGGTAATATCTTTGAGCTTTTGGATCTCCTGGGCCTGGGTCGTTGTGCACAGCACGAGCTGCTTCTGTTCTTGAACGACTAAACACGTATACAAACGCCATCAGATCAGCGCCCATCGATTGCTCATGGCCGTCGACTACTCGATCGCATGCATACATGCAACTCGCGGTCGCAAAACACGTACGCTTTGCGTTCAACAGGATGAGCTCTCGTCGGCGCTCGCTCTCGGCTTGTTGCTGCAACTCCATGTGCTTGATGCTGTCGACGTACCTGCACAAATCAATGAGCCATCAGTCGTTACTCGACACACTCATTGACGCCGGCGGGAGGCTCAAGGGCCATGCATGCATCATGGAAAAGACGCAACGCACCCTTTCATGGATGGGTCGCATGTGTAGTTGCAGGTACAAAGATGCAGTTTCTAAGGTGAGTGGATGAGACAATGGCGACCAGAGATTTCCGGCTTGGTCGATGGGGAAGATGTCGTACCGACTGCAGAGCCTTGTGCTCGTTGCCCAGCGCTTCCAACTCTGCTTTGAGCGCAATGAGCTGCATCTCCATCTTGAGCGACACAGCCTCGTACTCGGCACTCATGTGGCGTTTCGTCGAGTCTTGATGCGAATGGTAGTGCGATCGCTCCTTCTCCAGCATTCGATTCTTTGCTTCGAGGCGGCTCGTTTGGACGTCGAGCAGTTGAATCATATCGTCCTTTGCCTGGACGTCGTCGTGGTACTTTGCCTTCAACGCCGCCAAGATCTCTTCCCCACGCTTCTCCCGTGCTTGAAAACGCAGAATTTGGGCTTCCAGCGCTTGCCGCGTCTTCTCCAACTCGACGACGTGGCGATCGTGCGCGTCAGTGGCTTGGGCTGCTTCCTCCTCCAGCGCCTTGACCTTGGCGTCCAGCGCGTCGTGGACGTCTTGCGCCACGCGCCTCTGCACGTCTGTCTCGTTTCTGGTTTCTTCCAACTCTAGCAGCCATGCCAATCGAGCCTTTGCGTGCTGCGCTTCCAAGGATAGAATGTCCTTTTTCAAGGCTATTTGCTGGGCGTTCCACTCCTCGCGCTCTTCAGCCTTGACGCGGCGCAACACTGCGCTCTCTTCATCCGCCATGCGACATGCTTCTCCCAACGTGCGCAGGCTTTCCTCGACGTCGTTCACGTGGGCTCGCAAACTTGATATGTACTTTTCGTTGTCGAATCGAACATGCTCCAAAATCATGCGCTGCGACTCAGTCAAGTCGAGTTCTTGCTGCAGTCGGAGGATTTCACGACCCAACTCGCCTACTTTGGCCGTCATCTCGTCCAGTTGGCACCGGTCGCTGTGTGCCGCGACTTTGAACTCGGCAAACTCATTCGACTCGGCCATCCACAGCTCCTTGGTTGTTTCCAACTCGGCTGTAATCTTGGCGCAATGCTGTTCCTGGTCTCCCAATTTGGAGATAGTGTCGGCGAGATTCACAGTGACATTCAACATTTCCACGTTGAGTTCGTCGCGCGCGGCTTCGACCGACGCAGTAGCTGCACGTTGCTCAGCCAGGGTTTGCGCCAGGTCTACCTCGATAGCCTTGAGCGACTCGATGGTCCGTGTGAGGTCGGCATTGCGCTCGTCCTCGATGGCCAACTTCTCCTGGAGTGTGGCTTCCTGACCTCGCCATTCCTTCGTTTGTATCGCCCATGCAGCCTTTTCTTGGGAAAACTCTGCTTGGATTGCGTCACATTTGGCGATCGCGGCTTCCAGGTTGATGAACACCGCACGTTGTTGGACGTTGCTCGCATCCAGGTGTTGTTTTGTCGCTGCCAGCTCGGCCTCGAGCTGTTCAACGACCCGTTGTGAATCAAAATACTTATTTTCAAAGCTTTTCTTGACCCGAGCCATGATGTCAAGGTCTTCTCCCAGCGCATCCACGTGTGTCGCGGTCTCGAGGGACAACTGGTCCTTAAGCTTGGTATTTTCGCGTCGCAAGGCCTCGACTTCGTCGCGCAAGTCTCCGTCCACAAGAAGCTCGACGGCAGGCAAGCTTCCACCGCGTGCGATGGTGTCCTGCAGCTGGTCCATCGCGGACTGCATGTCCTGCTTCAGGCGCACCTGCAAGGCCAGCTCTTGCCGAACTGCATCTAGCTCCGCTGCGATTTCGATCTTCTCGTGGTCGCGGCGACTTACAAGAACATCCAACTCGCTGCATCGCACCGCCTACACGCCATCTCCTCGTCAGCAGCTCTGCCTTCGCAACCTGCATTGTGATCGATCGATTGTCCAAGACGTCGAGTGAAGGAAGGCCTTACCATGTTTGCCATCGATTCCTTGGTTTCCTCGAGTTTGCGCTGGACATTGATCAGTTTTTGCAGCTGCACTTCTTGGCTGTGTGTCTTCTCGAGCAGCTCGGCAGTCTTGTCTTCGAGTCGCTACGTCATAGCGATTCATGAGCCCTCCCCCGCCGCAAGATTCACAAAAGTGGGGGCATACGATGCGGCTTTACCCGATTCAACTCCTTCACCCGGGTCATTTCGTCAAGTTTCGCCTGGTACTTTTCTACACGAGCTTCGAGCCTTGCCGCCTTGTCCGCCACCGGTTTCAAAATGTCGAGCTCGTCCCGCGCCGCAGCCAGCTCGACCTCGATGTTGCTGAGGCTTTGCAACTTGGATGTGGCCTTGGTCAACTCGTCCTGCATGTGCGCCACGTACTCGTCGACCTGTTTCTTCATCGCGCGCTCGTTCTTGGCGGCCTCCACTCGAAGTTCGAGCTTGAGGTTGTCGAAATCGTCCTTCCGTCTCTCTTCTGTCTGATTGAGCTCGGCCATGGCGTCCTTTGCCTGAAGGAGTTCGGTTTGCAACCTCGCGTTTTCTTCCTTCAGCATGAGGTTTTCTCTCGCCATGCGCTTTATTTCGTTCTTGGAACAAGACGATGCAGAACCGGGAGTCGCCGATGCAGAGGACGCTTGCTTCGTGGGCTGCACTGGGGTCGATGGTGTTTGCGGGTCATCGTCGCAGATGGTCGAGTTGTGTGTTGGGATGCTGTCCCCTGAGATCGCTTCGCAGTCGTCATCCTCGCGAAGCAACGTGAATAGTGTAAGTTGAATATTTTCGCTGAGACTCAACACATCATTGACAAATGATGCTTGTTGTGCGCCTTTGAATGCTCCTATACAGACCGCGGACAGCGTTCGCTCGAGCTCGAGTTCCGCATTGCTGGGTGGCGTTTGCATATCTTGCGAGACCAACGTGCCATCGTAATGTTCATCGAGTAAATCGCTTCGTAGTGGGTGGAGAAGGTTCAACTCGGCTGCATGGTTGTTCAGAACGTGCAAGATCGAATTCCAGGCATGCGTCGACGGATCCAGCTCGCTCGGAAACACCATGCGCACAACATTGGCGACGCATTCACTCAGCGATACACTAGCAGACGGTGAGCTCGACGGAGGCCTGTAGAAGGCAACCCATTCCCGCAGCGCCGACACGGACATGCCCAACGCTGTGCTTGATCTAAATGGTGGATCAACTTGGACGGAAGTGCAACTACCCAATCATTTTTGATGTTTTCATATGAATTGACGTATTTTTGACCAATCAAACGTTGCGATGGTTTGTTCAAAATTTCAAATTGTGAGAATCGAAAACGCGCCAAAGCAGCTGGATGGACGCCCACTCGGAGCATCATGATGCTGCTACTCGCCGGGACTATCCCCACGCATTTGAAGCGCCGGTCGCCGAAGTGAGTCCAATCCAAGGAGATGTTCTTAGCGGACCCCAAACACATTCTCCCATTCATCGCTGGTCAACACGTCAATCGTGGCCTTCATGGAAGATATACGAGAGTTGACAGGCCGGTTGTTCAATTATTACCAGAGCATGTGCTAATGATAGCCAAATTGTGGGCTTGAACTGATGGTGTTTACAATGCTGGACTGGGGCATGTTGTCCAGCGAAAGTATTCATCACAGCGACCAGAGATACAAGGCATGGAGCCATTAACAAGTTCGTGTATTGAGAAGCGAGATCTCCTTTTGCATTACAAGCAACCACAGAATATATTTATGACGCTTTCACGAGGCCATGGTGGCGCAAGGAATCGCAAGTTTCCTGCACCATTTCTTGGATGTTGCGAAAGCGGATCCCGAGTTCTTTCTCGGCCTTGCTGCAATCGTACAACAAAGGAGCGGCACACTCTTCGAACACAGGTGCTTCCGGTGTCAAGGCCGAGTGATATGCGTTCTTGACGGCGTTTGCGATCTCCTGTTCCGAGGGGCACGCTCCAATGAGCAAGTACCTGCCTGAGGCTTGGGGGTTTTCGAACCCGACAATGTGCGCCAACGCGACGTCGCGCACATCGACCATGGCTTTAACCGTATTCATGATCTCCTTTGTGTTTCCGACCATGTAGTCGTATATCTTCTTGGAGCTTTCGTTCAACTCTGGCTGCAACATGGGGCCAAGGATCCACGTCGGGCACATCGTCACCATGTCGAAGTGCGGGTTCACCAACGACCGGACAAACTCCCACGCTTCGCGCTCCGCAATTGTTTTGCTCAAACCATACCACATCTTGCGCTCAGCCATCAGTTCCTCATGGCTCCAGTCCTCTTCAGTGAAAACATGACTATCGGGTTTCGTGCCGCAATGGCCGTAGATGGAAATCGTCGACGATGTGAGCACCACTCGACGAACAGAGGGGGTACGTGCCACCGAACGCAACACGTTGAGCGTGCCTTTGACGGCAGGTTCCACTAGGCTGTCTCGCGTTTGATCTGTCAGAAAAAAAGGCGATGCAGTGTGCAGCACGACGTCAGCACCTTTGATGGACGCATCAAACGATCCCTCCTATGACATAATACGTTGCAGCAATGCAATGACGTGAATGGCGTTTGCGTGATGAAGCGGGACTCACCTGTAAAAGGTCCGCTCCAAACAGCGTCAAGCGGTCGGATGCCCCCGACAGTGCTTTCAAGTGCGCCACCTTTGCAGCGTTGTTGGGGTCTCGCACCGTGGCGTGGACTCGGTAGCCTCGTTCGAGGAGCAGCTTGATGCAGGTGGATCCGAGGAAGCCCGAGCCTCCCGTCACGCACACCACATTCTCCCTTTGCGCCATCTTGATGAATGTATGCACAGCTGGGTCGGATAATTCTGCGGATATGGAGTTATCCGGATGTTGATTCGGATCTTCCAGCGGCAATTCGAAACGTCGTCATGGCGCCGCGGACATGGATGCTGCGGTTTGCACTTGTGCCTGCCGCAATGTGGACCGCACTACCGGCTTCATCTCACACGACGGTCGTTGTACCAGACCCCAGCGAAGCCGACAACATCGAGCAGCTGCATTACGACGAGGCGGAGGCGGCGCTCGCGGCTCGACAAGTCGCCGCGATCACAGACTTTCAAATCGACCTCAACTACTACGAGTACAGCCTTATACCTGCCATCAAGCCAGACTACACGATTGGTATCATCGTCGATCCGTGCAAGACACGGGAGCCTGGATGCTGTCAAGATCAGTTTGGGTCGCCGGTACGATTGTGGGCTTCCGTCCTCAAGCGTATCATGGAGCAACGTTCTCACGCAGGCATACATTGTTCCGCGATCCGACATGAATGACAAGGGCATTGCAACAGTCGTAAACGAGTTCGGAGACCCCCTCGACAAGAAGCACAGGTACGTTCTATGCATCCCCCTCTCGCATTCGTCCTGCGCAGCAACGCCCTCCGTCATTTTGATGTTGTAGTCGTCTTGGCGACACTCCGTCGGTGTTCGACCCCACTTGCCGAGTGGATATGGCAGGAAAAGTTTACAAGAACGAAACCACGATCCACCCGAATGGATCCATCACCCACGCCATCGACTATGCCTCTCTATGGCACGTTCGTCGTCGCGCGATGCATGTTCACGAGAAGCTCATCAAACGTGGATAGCGTTGCACACGACTACGCAGCCGTGTCGGTCACCGACCGCGCGTTGCCAGCGTGCTGGGACAACAATGCGACTGTGAATGCACTCTTGCCGTGCTACACCTTCGCCGGACGGATGAAGCCGCACTGTGTGTCGGTGGGGTACATGCAGACCGCGTACATCGTGCAGTGCAATGGGCCATTCGCGTTGGACAACCACTGCGGCACGTTTCTCGAGCTCCACAAGCCTCACGACGAAACGATCTTGTCTCAAACGCGATTGTTTGGTGAATTCACGAGCGGGTACCGCACCACGACACTTCCTCTTTTCTACAAGGGGAATCGAACCCGCACGGTGTGCAACGGCGACTACGAGGTACGGCCTCAAATTTCTGCTGTCATGAACGCGGCGGGAGGTAGATCTGGTGGGTCGTGCGCACACGGTACAAGTTTGTCGTCAAGTTCATGAAGAAGCTGTTCATCACGACGCCATTATGTGAGTTCGACGACGTCACCAACGACTATCGTGGGTACAAGGCCCTGGGAACCGCATGAACACATCGACCTTGACGCGGCAAGGTGACCGACCTGATGGGGGGGTCCACGTGTCATCGGATGGGTCCCCAGTGAGGTGGGGGGTACGTTGAAATCGTCCGTTTCGATTCAAATTGCTATGTCGGTGTTGCAAGAGAATGGTAGGGGGGGTACCCCCAAACTCTTGCAAATCAAAAATCGGTCATATTTCTATTCTTCTACATCTAGATGTTTGTATCAATGTTTTAAAAAATACTGTCCCACGTGCTAGTTCCAATCTGACAGTGGCACGGCGCGCCAGAGCAGCCGGCAGCGGTCGACTCGAGAACTCGCCACCTTTTTTGTGCGACGACGACCCTTGAGGGACTCAGCGTAGACGAGCAAGAGTCGAAGCTACCTCCGTTCGTACACGCCCCGCTCACTTGTCGTTCCACACGAGCAAGCCGCTCTCTTGAACCATGGTGGACCCCACGACAGCTACGCCCGACTCGTACGACGGCGGTGCCATGACAACATGCGTGTGTCGTGATGGGTTTGACCCGAGACGATTCATGCTCGAATGCGCGTACTGCGAGCATTGGTTTCACGGCGTATGTGTGCAGCTCAGCGAAGAGAAAGCCTTCGCGATCGCCAAGTTTGCTTGTCCTGCGTGCACCAACAAGGGCTGCCAAACCAAGTGTCCGTGCCAACTACGACCGTCACCATGTCCGTGTTTCACTGTTGAAAACGATAGATGTGTCCGACCCAAAGCCACCCTTGGACGCATCGCTCTTGCCGCTTCCTCGGCAGTTCGCGGCGCTCAACATCAAGCAAGTTCTCTCGGATCCCACTCCAACTAGCGTCGACAAAGCCAGCGCCAAGATGCATCAAATGCTCGAGTGCGGCATGTTTGCGCGCTCTGGCGTGCGTCGCATTCCTGCAACGGTGCACACGATGCCTGTCCCCTCCAAGCATGCTCCTAAAGATTTCGATAGGCTGTGACCGCTGCCTACATCCGCACCAACGGGTTTGCTGAGCCCATCGTAGCCGACGACTCGTTGGGTGCCTTACCTGGGCTGCACGTGCCCGAGTCATCCATCCACGTTGACGACGTGCCAAACATATTAGGTATATTCCCCGCTGTTTCTTCCGTCGCTGGTGCCCATGCTCATGGTGGATGGGGCCGCCGACTCGTGTAGCCGCCGCCAAGGTGATCAAGACAATCGATGTGTCGACTCAAGTGCCTCGCCAAGTTTCGTACACGGACGTGCTGTCCATTTGCAATGGCGGCGACTCGTGGACTGGCAACGTCGAGTTTTCCGTCGTCGACACGTCGCTCGAGTTTCAAATCACACCGCCTCAACGTATATCGCTCCAGGTCTTGACAGTTCTCACGGCTTTTGTAGTTGTTGCCGACCTCGACTGGTTCCACCACCGGTCCCAAACCAACGCATTCAACCCGAACACGTACCTCAGCATGTACTCGGTGCACTCGTTCAAGGACTTCAGCATGAATCCAAACGGGTCATCGGCGTGGCTTCATCATTTGTACGGCCCGCCACTCACGTTGTTCTTGGTGCCGCCGACGCCGGCGCACCTCGAAAAGTTTGTCGAGTGGAGCGTGAGTCCGGCCCGGGCAACCGTCCACTTTGGCGACCTCGTCGACAAGTGCATCAAGGTCGACGTGCCCCCGAACACGACCGTCTTTGTTCCTGCTTCGTGGATTTACAGCGTCTTCGTGCCGTCGGTGTCGAGTGCGACCGCAGCCAAACCGGAGACCGTCGCGCCAGAGACCACCACGGCGGTGTTTGTGACCGCCTACTTCTTTCATGGGTTTAGCATGAAGGAGCAAGTCAAAGTGCTCGAAGTCGAGCAGACTATCGCGCGGAAAGCCACTGCAACAGGTACGCCCATGACATGCTGTGATGATCCAAGTCGGTCTTTGACGGGACGCCATGGCGTATGTCGAGTCTAGGCCGCCCACCCATGTGGCCCATGGTCACGTCCGCCGCTCAGTTCCCCGCGCCGTCACCAGAGATGCTCAAAACGTGGGTGTGGCCAGCCGTCCAGCGCTACATCGGTCGCCTCAGGAGTTTGCAAGTGCTTTCAGAATGGGAAACGCAGGGGTTGCTCCACATTTTGCCGCTCCTACGCCACTGCGACGTCCCCAACCAAGGTGACAGCTCCATCGATGCGCTGCAGTCGTTGTTGGGTGTAAAGGACCCGCACGCCGCCGTTGTGCCGTCCAACTCGTCGGTCGCGACTGCGATGCCGTCGTTGGCGACGTCCAAAGTCAAAGTCAAGAAAGCCATGGCCGCGGCCCCGCCGACCCCGATGCCTCCGCACGTAGCTACGACGGCGTCGCTCCTGTCTGCGTCCGACTCGTTCCTCAAGCAGCGTGACCGAAAGGTGTGCAAATGCCACTTGAAAAAGTGTGTGAATTGCCGCAACTGCACCAAGCGGCATTGCATCTGCGGCACGTCCGTAACCACACCGTCGCATGGGTCCGCCATGACGGGAACCCTCGGAAACCCCATGGCCAAGAAACCCACCACGGCGGCATTCCTTCCTGGGGACAAGAAGCCCAAAAAGAAACCATTGAATGGCACGCCTTTGTCCGCGCAAGCAACGACAGCAGGTTCCCAGCAACGCTCGACAACGTCACAGCAACTTGGTCTGCACCACAGCGACCTCTCCCAGGCCCTCCCTCCGTCCGGCGTCCTCGCGCCATGGACCACTGACGATGACGATGACTCGCTCCGTCAGGATGCCACCTCGTCCATGTGGGACCACGATATGAACCAGTCGTTCTTTTCCGCGACGGAACTCGGGCTCAACATGACAGGGACTCTCGAGCTCGACGACGCGTTCGGGATCATCGACATGGTCGAGAGCTCATCCCTATTTTCAGGGTATCCATCCAACGACGGCGTCAAAGCATGTCTGTCCAACGCTGCAGGCGCTGCGGTCGCAACGACAGCGACGACTGCCACGTCATCGGCGACCAAGGTCAAGGAAGAAGCGGCTGCAGCACCCACGAGCGTCGCAAGCATCGCGGCGCCGCCACCTCCCCTCCAGCTGTCGGCGCTCTCGTCCGTCGGTGGCGGAAGCGTGCAGCACTCGTTTCTTTATGACCCTGCCGCGGCCACCGACACGTACAACTACGACAGCGAGAAAGAAGGCATCAAGGACTTTGGCGACTTGACGCCCGACGCCGACGGATCCCAGCGGCATCGCGCGTCGTGCCATCGGTGCGGCAACCTCCGCAAGAAGAACGTCCGGTGCCTCGGGTGTCCCCATATCTTTTGCCAAAAGTGAGCAGCAGCGCATCGCGCGCGACGCACACGGAACAAACCCTGACCGGTGCCATGGCTAGGTGTGCGGAGAAGATGGTGGAGGAGCATGGCGCGCAGACGTTCATCGGGGGGTGCCCCGTCTGCAAGGAATTGTGCTGTTGCGGCAAGAACCGATCGACCGTGTGTCGGCGCAAGGTACGACGTGTCCAGTGGGTTTCGCACGAGAGGACCCAAAACTCACGCCGTTGGGTGTAGTTTCACTGCTACAAAAAGTGTCCGGCCACGAAGCGGTGCAACCTGAACTCGGATGACCAGGTCAAACTCCGCGGCGACGACGCGGAAGTTTTCAAGGATGACGACATGCTCATGGAGTTCGCCATGCATGACGACGACTTGGGTGACCTCGACGGCAACCATATCATGACGATGCCGCCATCGCTTGCCGACACGCCGGACGCGTTGCTTCAACATGCTCTGTCCGTGGCGCCGCCGCACCCGTCCCGCCTCGCGTCGTCTTCTCTCAGCGAGTGCGACTTCGACATGGAACTGGGGGACTTGGAGTAGACAATCGATTCGACGTCCCACGAAATCGCAAAGCATGTTCGTCGAGTGCACCTTCAAGTTGCCTGTCTGGCCGTCCATCGGCGGCACGTCGGCTACGCACTCTCGAGCTACATTATCTCCCTTGCATCCTGGTCGACCTGGCGCGCCATGTCCCGTGGCATGCTGGCGTCGAAAGGCGATGGAACGGTCGAGGACGGAATTCGTTACGTGTGATCATGGCATCTAGGATGACGGACGCTGCCATGGGCATGCATCACGGCGGCACTTGGTTTCGCACCAAGTGCGGCCGCAAAGCAGACATGGAAATCAAAATGGCTTCCTCGGAACGGATCGTCCGACTGCCTTGTTGGGGACACGTGTTGACCCACATGTCGAACAGCGTGTGTGCGCGGTCGCCGGTGACCTCGATTGTCTCGTCCGCATTCGCGCACTCTTCGATCCCAGACACCCCACCAAACACGATCAGGGCATGCCTACGCATCCATCCGTGAAGCAACAGTCCATGCTCGATCGATCGTACTCGAACGACGGCAGGCTGAACGAGGCGTCGTCGACCGAGACGGTCCCGCGTTCGGACGTGCCGATTTTGAGGTCATATCCGTTCTACAGCAACAAAGTACACGATTCCTCAACGAGTCGCCGCGATCCAACGATCGAACCTTGAACGGGCTCTCCTGCCACACTTTGCTGATCGACGTGGCAAACCGCATCGTGTACCCCCAGTAGAGTCCCTTTTGTTCGCGCGGTTCGGCCGGCGACACGACTGTGCCTGCCACTACAGACATCGCGTGAGGGACGAGAGAGTGCCATCAGCATAACGCACATTTCTTCTTGTCTTTGGACGACTCGTCAAGCTGAACGGTCACACGCACGCCCGGCTGCAAGTGCTTGTCGATGACGGCGAACTTTTGCAGTCCCACGTTCACATGGGATCCGTGCTTCTCCTTGAGTGGTTGGTCGACGACAACGCCTTCGCGGAACTCGCTCCAGACATCCCCGCGCATGTGATGCGGGCAATCCAACGGGTTCAGCAACCCCGCGTACTTGAGGTCGTTGTGCACGGGGAATAGCGCCTTGCGGAGGTACTGCGGGGTCTCAAGGTACTGCAAGATGCGGCCGAGGAACACGTGACAGTCGTTCGGGTTGTTGTACTTCTTGGTCGCGTCCTGGTTGTTCGCGTTCTTTCCAAGCTGATCGTCGAAGACAACGATCTCGTCCACTTGAAAGATCGCGCATGCGCGCGCGATTTGCCCCGCCAGGTACGTCTTGAGCTCCTTCGTTTGCGCGTTGTCAATGATCGATCCGGGAATGGCAATGGACACGGTGAAGAATCGACCCTTCGCCCGACGTTCTTCAAGGGCCCGTGCAGCCTCAGCCTTCTTTAATTCGGCCTTGGCTTCCTGTTTCTCCGTGCGCTTCTGCTTTCGCCGGTCCTGGCGCTCTTTCAAGATTTCGTCGCGGCTTTTGTTCAACATGTGCTTCTTTTCGCCGTCGTCGTCATCGCTCGGGGATTTGGCGTCGTCACGAGCGCGCTTTGACCTCCTTGGTGCTACTTTGGCGGCCGCACGGGCCACCTGCTCCACCTCTGAGTCGCTGGATTCGCTCGAGATCATCGTTTCTGGCGCCTTGAACTCACTTGCCAACCAATCCGCCCGTGCATGCAAGAACCTCTATATTTCGATAAACAAACAACTGTCGGATATATCCGGATATCAAAGAAGAAAGGTTTCCTCTGCGTCAACATTTCCCACAGCAGAGAAAGATGAGCCTGCCGAAAAAACCGTGGGAAACGGTGTCGGCGCCGCCGCGTTCCTCCGTCGTCCCAAGCACATCCACGAGGTCAACTGCTACCATGCCGTCAAGTGTAGGAGGATCCCAAGGCAGCACAATCTCGACATCCGCGACGACGAGTTCGCTGTATCCACACGACACCACTGGCGCGTTGATGGCCCAAGGCGGTACAACTCCATCCACGTACGGCGCACCTGGAACCTACGGAAGTCGATATGGTATGGGTGTATCCCCATACGGCGGAGGATATGGAAGTGCCTATGGCGGTGGATACGGCGGGTACGGCGGGGGTATGTACAGTGGCGGCTATGGCGGCTATGGCGGTGGGATGTACGGCGGCGGCATGTATGGCGGCGGTGGTGGGCCCATGATGATGGATCCTAATGGACACATGGGCTGGCTCGTCAGTTTCAACCAAACTGTGAGCGCGATCGGTCAAATCACACAGGTTTGCCCATTGTCACCTCGTCCTGGCAGGTCTCTCCACGACATTCGTAGGTCCTGGGGATGAACGCTGAATCGCTCAACTTTTGTTTTGGCAGTTTTGTTCACTTCATGGAGCGCATGGCGTTCCTCACGACGAATGCCGTCGCGATGTTGTCGCCCAAACCAGTGTTTCCCCCGGGCCACCCTCGCTATGGTTCGCCGGAAGTCCACAGTTCGTTCACCACTGACGGTTCGATTTTACAGGGGAACCCCCCGAGACTGAAGATGAGATCAAGAGCAGGCTGAGGCGCGTGCGCGTCGTCAAGTTCTTATTCAGCCTCGTGGCCATCTACGCCGCGTCGCGCGTCGCTCGCTTCATGCGCAGTCTATGGCGGCGGCCACAGCTCCCTCCGCCGACCTTATCGTATGACCGTGTGTTTGGCTCTATTGCGTCCAGTACACACACCACAAATGCCATCTCATCGGCCACAGGGACAGCAGAAGCAGCTGCGTTGAAGGCGTAGACCATGGTATTCAAACTCGTATGAGTCTGGAAGCTCATGCATCATCTGTGTTGAGTAGTTCGTGATGGAGAGATCGACAGTGTGAGGCATTCGTAAGGGACGGCGCCATTCGTCCAGCCATCCAAGGGCTAGCGCCCGAGAGAGTAGGGATAGGTCCATAGAGACGATTTTACAATACAATAGTTTACATTGAGAAGCTCGACGACATCAACAGGGCTCGCCAGACGAGGGGTGCACGATGCGGCAGCGAAACGATGCCCCTACGAGGCCAACATGTCGACGTGGCACTGGTGGTTCCATCGCCACTCAAAGTGGGTCGTGACCATGTGAAAATGGACGAGGGCGGCGGCCACGACGCAGACGTGCCAGATTTGATGGGACCCAAACAGTGTGTCGAATCGGCCGGGGTATAAGCGCTCGGGGACGCGACTCATGTAGATCATGGCGCCGCCAATGTAAAACAAGCCTTCCCACAGCATCGGAGCCAGAATCACCTGCACTTGCTCGTGGAAAAAGCCGTCAATGAACGCCATGTGGACGACGGGCACCGCGCCAAAGAGGCCGAACGAGATGAACGTGCAAGTGCGGAGAACGAGGAACTTCTCCTTGGCAAAGAACGGCATCATGGCCATTGCAAACGTCATCGAAGCGAGGACCATGGTCGTGCCGAGGTAAAACCAACGAAGGCCGGCGTCACAGTAGAACCCGTAGTACTGGACGGGAAAGAACGAGCCAGAGATCAAGATCGAGATGCCAGCGTAGTCCAGGCGCGACAGCACGGCGTACACGGGATGGCTCACGACGTAGAGCAAGTGGAAGATCGCCGAGCAGGTCAGGCAAATGATGGCACTCCCGACGAAGATGGACACGGGCCAAACCGGCACTTTGTGGTCCAGATCGAAGCGGAGGACATTAAGGACGTCGGTGATCGCTTGGACGCCGTGGCGGATGTTGTCTTGGTGATGGGACTGCTGAAGAGCCGTCAGCCGCGCGCGAACGTTGTTCTGGAGGGATTCCAAGTGGCTGAACACGTGACGATTCAACCACGCGTGGTCTGCCAGCGCCAGGAGCCGATCTTGGAGTTGTACGAGGTCTTGCTTGAGCAAATGGAATTCACCATTGATGGAGTCAGCCGAGTCTTGGACGAGGTCGGACAGTGTTGTGTTGAAGAGAACACTCGCGATTTCAAGGAACTGTCGCGGCGGGCCATGCAACGACAACGTTTGGACGAGCGCACGTTCGGAAGAATCCATGATGGAATGCGCCACGAAGAGTCGAAGGGTGTGGTGTCCATGGGACAGGTATGGCAAGTTGGCAAGGTGGACGTGGTGCGGCGATTCGACTTCGTGATGGGGATGCACGGCTTTGTCGAACTGTGTGTACAACAGTACCAGGAGCGATACAAAGATGAGCGACCCGATCATGTGCGTCCACACATTCAGTGTCTCGTTGTGCATTTCAAACAGGGACACTACGCATTCCTTGACGGAATAATGGAGACGATACCCGTGGTGGATGAACGTGTTGTCGCCGAGGTAGGCAAACCCTTCGTGCTCGAGGCGATGGAACGCCTCCAGCCTCTTCGTCCTTGTTGATTTTTCCCGCATCAATGGCGGCGTCGGTGGATGCGCCTTCTTCGCCGCGGCAGACATTCTCGACGAGCGCGGTAGATGTGGGAGTGACAGCACCTTCGTTGGTCTTCGACTGTCGCTGGCTGCTATTTTGGGACAATCGGATTATCCGAAAGGTGCCCAATTATCCGGATGACCTAGCGATTCCGGCATCAATTGTGAGATATCGCACGAGGTGGACACGACGATCCGGCAGGTGCATGGAGAAGGACTGATGGAGCACACGGAGCAAGCATGGGGAAGGCCACCGACGCTAGCGTCATCGCAGCAGCGTCGCGGAGCCACGGAGCGACAGAAACAGGAAACGGTGATTCTCATGTTGACGAAACACTACTGCGTGCTCTCGTCATACCATCGGATCCGCCACGTCGACAGCAACTTGTTGGGTTCATGAGCTCTATGCGAGGCATACATGGGGAGGACAATTGTCTACGTGATGGCAGGCTTCACAGCTTGGCGCCGACGCCGCCTCGTGCTTCCGTCGCTTTGGCCTGCAACACACTTTAAACGACAAAGACCCCCAGAATGATATGGGTTGTAGTGTACGCACACACTTGGGTTCTGCTTTCACTAGTCTGCGCCTCCTGCCTCGATCTCCATCGTTGTCCCCCTTGTTTCCAACATCGTGCATGATGGTCTTGAGTGCTTCACGAACATACGCCAACTCGCCAATGACGTTGGTTTGAAGGTCCGCGAATGCTTTGTCTCGCTGGGGAAGCGTCTACTAGCCAACCGCACACACGATTCATCACTCCATGAAGCCTCCAGTTTGATCGCTGAAGGCCTGACCATCTCCACGAGCGTGTACAGTGTCTGCATATTGGCCGCCAAGCGGTGCATGCGCTTCTCCATCCTGAGCATTCGAATCGCAATCCAGTTGATCGTGGCATGCATGCCGCACTCACTTGTGAATTCGTGTCAGGCCCTTGTGTACGCCTTCGACAACGACGGGCTCTTCGTCTGCCCGACGGTCCATGAGAAGCTGCACTTTTTCGCGCAGCGCTGGCACTTGGATTTCTAAGCTTGCCACCGCCTTCCACCACGCTTCCTCCTGAGGGCACATTCATTGTCATCGCCACGTCCTGTTTCATTCAGTACCTTGTGGCACCATTCGTCCTGCAGCCGCCGCTGCAACTTGTGCATCTCGTCTTCATCGACCTTGGCCGCCGTCTCAAGCCTCTTGGCATCTTCCGACATCTGTGCCAACTTGGCATTCCAGTCCTCGACAAGCATCACTTGCGACGATTCGAACGTTTCCATGGCGCGGCGGAGGTACTCGAGGCCTTCACGAAACACGATGCAGTCACGTTCTAATACCGCGACTCGCGACGCCATGTCCGATGATTCGCCCCGGTCGCAACCCCGCTGCGAGGCACCATGGCTGGTCAAGACAGGTCGGATAGTCGTCCGGTCGCGGTCGTCAAGGTCCGATTGCAGCGACACCAGACTTGCGTTGATGAGGCGGCAGTCGTCGTGGTGTTTCTGGCTCATTTGCGCCAGCTTTGCTTGCACCCGTTGCAGTTGGTCTTGCAGTAAGATTGCATTTTGATCGATAGATTCCAACTTGGCATCCGCCGCACAACCAACCCTCGCGATCTCCACGGCGCAGTACTGCTCAACGGCCTGCCGAGCCCGTTTTGCCTTTTCCTCATGCTCGACTAGCCTGGCTTCGAGCGCTGCTGTAGCCTCCTCGACTGCATTTCGAACTTGTTGTACTGCCTACACCAGCCTGTGAGCGACAGAGACGTGGGTAGTCGCCCGTACCGCATCTGTATGCGCCACGTTACGGGCATCAGCAATGGCGATATCGTGGACGAGCTCCTGGTGGGCGGCATGGATGGCCTGCCATTTGGTTTGCTGTGCTTCGTGCAACGTGTGGTAGCGCTGAACATGTAGCTCCATCGTTTCCTTGGCGAGTTCACCGTTCGTAATGGCATGATCAATCTCTTGCCGAAGCTTGGTTTCCATGGATTGCGCCGCGTCGTCGGTGTCGCATTGCCGCACGTCCAGTCGTCGTAGCTGTGTCCCGTGAGCTGTCACAGTGTCGCGGATCGTCTCTATCAGGGACTGCATCGTCCCGATGTCCTGGGTGTTGCTTTGCATGAGGTCTCCGGTATGCTGCTGGTGCATCTTGAGCAATTTAGCGACTGTCGCGACTTTCGCGTCGGTCGCTTCAATCTGAACGTGCATGTCGTGAATTTGCGTCTCGAGGCTCTTTGTGTGGAGACATGCTGCCGACACACGCTCGAGTTGGATTTCCAAGAATGAAATGTACGCGCCACGGTCGGTGAGGAGCTTTTTCGTCTCCTCTACAGCTTGCTTTCCAGTAGATGCTTTTGCCAGCGCCTTCGACCGCATGAACTCCTGGAAGTACGACCCGCGGTCCATCCCCACAACTCCCCAAACGACGTATCTAATCCTTGGGTCAACGCTCATTGGACCATTCTCTCAACCAATCATGATTCAAAAAGCATAGGGTTATACCAATCAGAGAGCGGAAAGAATTTCAACCAATCAAA